AAACTTACTGGCCGGAAGTATAAGGAAGGCCCTTTGGGTAGTATTTCGGCACGTCTCCTTGTAGTCCCGGGATAATCTCGGTCATCGATCGAACTACGGATGGATTCTCGCTATAGCTCTCGAAACAACGGCCCCACCTCGGATCTCGACAAACTGCAACACACGGAGCAAACGCGTAATTAATTCCGGTAGCTCTAACTTCACGAGCCGTTGCAGCTCCGATTCTCTTCACCAATTCCGGGTCTCTGTTACAAAATCGAACATTTTTTTTTTAAAAAAAAAAGCGATTAGTCAATAAACTAGCAATACAATTCAAGAGATGACTACAGTCCCGTCACAATAAATGCTGGCAATTTTTTTAATTTCGTTACAGGACTTTAGCATTTTCCTATAATTTAATGTTATAAAGAAAAAATAAATATACATAAATATATATATACTTGCCTCGTGGCACCTAAGCCGATGTTGTGAGGAAAAATCGTAGCATTGTACGCGTTATTATTCCCGTGAACTGCATCCGAACCGTATATCATAGGAATCCCGAGACGTGTAGATAACGAGCCCAATTGAAAACGGTTGACCATGTTGACCCACGTCTCGGGTGAAGCCTTTGGCGCGGGGCTATTGCCTCCACCACTCAACACGCTGCCTATGAGATATCTTTGCATTACATACGGCGAAGCCACGTTTTGTTCGATTTGAACCATCTGACCGATTTTCTCTTCTAAGGACATTCGCCTTAACAGGTCTTCGACTCGACTGTGTATGGGCTGTTTCGGGTCTTTGTAAGCTACGTACGGGCTTGTGCCTGATATTGTTGAGCAGCAGCAGCTCAACAGGAAAAGCGCGGCAAAGAAGATTGAAGCTTTCGACATTTTTTCGCAGCGAAGATTGACTTTTTTTTAACTGAAATTGAAATCAGAAGAGAAATCACATATTTTGAACAACATAATTCAAGAATTAAGTAGCAATTCACAATCTAAAGCTAAGAAATCTGAATTGCTGTACACTCTGTAACATTGTGGTGAAAATATTACAATGTATAATATAATTGTGAGTCAATTATCAAAGCATTCATACAAAACGCTAATTAAGTTATATATGGGACATTGGGTCAAAAAATCACTTTTTACAAATTTATTATTTGCAGCATTTGTATCACAATTAATAAACAGTACATATGTTACAGCATTTGGTGTAAGTTGTAACACACAAAAGTACATGTATATGTGTTTATGAGTCAATATAAGAATAAATTTCAACCAACATATACTGATAAAATAATGAAGACAAAAAATAGAGATTATAAGCCCAAGAAAAGAGATTATAACACAGAATTAATAAATCGTATGTAACTTACAGGGAAAGAGAAATAGGAAGAAAGAGCGGGTTGGGTGAGTGAGATTGGTCTTGCTTTTAGGAGTATTTATAGAACTTGGATAAAAATTTGGTAATCCTATGTTTAGTAGGACTGGTATACATGTTTTTTAACTGATCGTATATTGAGTAGGATTGATATAGAAAACATGTTTTGTCTATTTAATTTGCCTGATTATAGATAAAAACGTTAATGATTGTGACAAACCTTGAAGGAATTAACTTAAATACCTAAAAGAAATCGAATTGGAAAAAAACAAGGCAACTATGAAAAAAAAAAAAATGCCGCCTTCCATCTTCTTACTCGCTATTTAGTTTACTTATCAATTATGAAATGGCATTTATCTGTTTTCTATTATCAATAAATAGTTGATATTTATTTATTTATTTTTACCATATATAACATTTTTTAAAAATTTTATGTCACACTTGTATATTGTATTGTAATTTTTTATTACATTGGCTTCTGAAAACTATCAGGCCTCATTTACTTTGATGGATTGGATTAGACAAAGTTATCTAACTAACTTTACACATCAGCATATTGTCATGCGTTTACATTATGGGATTAAAATTGTGAAATTTGTCAAACATTTACATTCCTGGACTAAATTATAAGATAAGCCTTGAATTGCCTAGTTTACCCTTCATTTCATACATTTTACAGAGTGTCTACCATTTGGCCCTCTTTCAATTTGTTCGTCGAGCCCTAATTCATCCAACAGCAGAAGGTGAGCACGAGTGCCACTCGAAGACGGAGACGACGTGGGCCCCGACGACATTCCGCGGCCGATTGGCTTCCGGAGATCGAAGACGTCATTCGAGGACGACGAGCTTAGGACCATCACCTGTTACGGCTCGACTGAGGGCTACCACCGTTGTTCAGACGGCAATCCAACGAGGACTGCAAGTTGTCGTAGTGGGCTTCTGCTAGGAGATGAATGCACAAACACAGTTAACAAAAGTGTAATGTAAACTCATTTTCTGCAACACCATCCTAATTAAATTATGCACAACCACACAGTACTAATTAAATTGAAAACATGGTTCAGTTCAAAAAATTCAATCTTGGTTAACTGAATTTAGGAGAGCTTACCTAGATCCTCGGCGAAATCCGAAGCTAACCACGCTTCCGCCTCCTCCTCAGAGTACGATTTCTTCAGATAGGGAAAAAGAATACAAAAAAAAAAAAATACGAATTACGATTCCAGGATTCCGATGAATCGTCAAAATTGATTGGTTGCATATTTCATGATTGGAACACACATATATAGCGAACTTCGAGCTTACATTTCGTCTCGACGGAAATATAGAAGAACGATATTTCTTCCGCCGCTTGACCTCGTCTCTGCAAAAAACTAGGGCAAATGCCTCGTTCTGTATCATTATATATGGGACAAAATTGTAAATTCGTGGACAATGAGGGGTATTTGAGTATTTTTGCAGCGAAAATAGAGGGTAAGATGGGCATATTATCGCTGGGACTAAATTATCCGAGGGGGGAGGCCGGATGAATTTATCAGCTAATAGATGATTACCTTGTGCCACATGTGCGCCACCTCACTTCAATCCCATCCCAATCCGTGTAAGTAAACGACAGATATCCCAAGACTATTTTGCTTATCCTGTCCTATCCCACAAAGTAAACGCCCCCTCACTAAATACTCAATATCATGACAAGGATTATATATTAATTAATAATCATCAAACCGTGTGTATTGAGTAATTATCAATACTCAATATCACTCAATACTCAATACTCTAATTAAGAAAGTGAGAATTATATATTAATAAATTATAATCATCAAACCGTGTGTATTGAGTAATTATAATGAGTCAGTAATCGAGCTCGAGTTCGACTTGTTTACCAATATTAACCAGTCGAACTACAAAAAATTACATGAAAATCCTTTTTTCCTAACTCGTTAACTAGACGAACTTGAATCTAGCTCAAATCGAGCTCACGAACAACTCATTTTACTATAATACAAAATTATGCGCAAAACAAATCATTACTTGAAAAAAGAAAAAACTGAACCTAGGGAAAAACAAAGAACAAAACTAGCATATTTGACATGCATAACAAAGATAATCTTCTAATTTATGTTACCAAACTGCAATAACCATAATCACCTGCTGAAAAAAAATTGAAGAAGGCAACATGACAAAAGAAATTGAGTTGGGCCTTGTTTGGGGAGTAAGAAAATGAGGCGTGGGAATGAAGCCTGGTCCGAAATCCACCCAACAGATTGCATGGGAAAATGCAAAATGGATCTTGGAACAGCCTCCATTCCAAACGCGTCCTTTCTCTCTCTATCTACATGATTGAGCAATCAAAGTGATATATATATATATATATATATATATATAGCGCTAGCTGAGATAATACTTTTAAAAAAATTGTATGATTATTTATTAGTTGGATTTTAAGTTTATATTAAAAAAGTATTCAAAATAAAATAATTAAATTTGATTTGATGTAAAAGCATAAGAGAGATGATATGAAGTAATGATTAGTTAAAATTAGATGAGTATGGATGAATAGTGAATTAAAGTTGACGTGATATATAGAATGATTTATTAATATTATTTAATTATATTGATAATATTGAGAATAAAGTTAAATTTTGAGTTTGAATTGAAAAAATTTATAAGCAACGTCCCTTAAATTTTACAAACCTTGATGATGCGTAGACTGTACATACCAATAGCGTACATTAATTTGCGTTCACCATTCACGTGTTAAGATACAATGATTTTTAATAAGTTTGATCCCCATGGGTTTTAGCCATTGATTTATACACAAGTGCACATAGACACGAATTTACCCTTTTAAACATCATATCTACCATATACTATGTTAATCTCTTGTTATATCAATTGGTGAACACATTGACATAACACTTGAATTATTTAAAACTGGCACAGAAAAATAAGAGACATGCAATAGTGGGTGTGATAAATGTGGAAAAGAAAAAAAAGAAATGGAGGCCAATTTGAAGGCACATGAAGAACAGGTCACCATGCGCGTAAAATAATGGGTGTGTATTTTTTGGAGTCTTGATATTTTGTTAATAGTTAATGTTAACAGTGATATTCTATGTTAACATAATAACATCCCTTCTCCATTTTGTGTTGTATGACAGGAAGAAAAAAAATTAAAAAAAAAATCTCTAATAGTTAATGTTAATAGTGATATTCTATGTGATATTTGAAATTGTAATTGGTTGAAGAAAAAAGATAAATTGAATAAATAATACAATTTATAATAGAAGTTGTTTAGAATAGTGTCTACATCTGGAAATAAAATAGAACAATAGAAATTCCATTGGAGATGCTCTAATTTCATCATATTTATCATTTTAACCTTCAAAAGGATACAAGATTAATTTGAATTCCATTATTTACAATCTGATTTTCTTTTGAGAAATTATCCTGTCAAATTATTGGCTCAAGTGCTCAACTTCCAATAATATGGACTGATTGGACTCCCAACAAATACAAGAGTTCCACAGCATTTCTAATCCCACTTTTAAACCTTGCTTATGTATCTGCCCAGCAAAATCACACAAAACATTGGCTCACAATTGATTGATTGTAAAGAGAAGAAGTAATGGGATCTACCATAGACATGATTTTGACCAATCATATTCATATACAGGCTGCTTAGCCTAATTTAGCAAGATTTGTTATCTATAATAATTTGCATGGCACACAAATTTACATCAAAATCATACTCAAGTAGTGTCAAATGAATAATAATGACATCATCTTATACAAACACGAAACTGATAGTATAAAGTATAAAGTATCAAATATAATACAACGTGAAGTCAATCGTTTCGAGAGGCCAATATTTGACCAATCAGCCAAGCTGCTCCAAGTTATCACATACTGAGTAAAGATTAACATTTGGCCAATATTTGTTTCGATTTAAAAAGAAATTATGCACAATAACATTCCAATCAATCGGCAGAAAACAGAGGTTTCATACATATATAGCAGCACACCAAGCAGTAATCAAACAGCTATTGTTCGACAGTTTACTCTTCTTTCTTTCTTTTATCCCCTTTAACTTTCTAATTCAGTTGTGTAAGCCTGCAAGGTGAGCTTGATTGCAAAACCATAGGCTACTTATTCAGCTTTGAAACCTAAACAAGGAGGCCAAAATTAATCTCAACTTGAAATAGACACATACGGATTTGTAAGGATAGGCCATAATCCCAAAAATAAAGGTCACCAAATAACTTGGCTAATTAAGTTGTTAAGAGAAAATATTCTTAATTTGCTGCCGGAAGTAGAAGAAAATCACATTCACAAACACCCTAAGCATAAGCAAACCCAACCCAATTATACCAGAAAGAATCTGATTCTCTTCCTTAAGAGGAAATCCAAATCAAAAGAAAAAAAGTTTGGACATTCTATAATGTTTCCAAAGGCTTTCACAAGAATTGTTCTAGATATATAAATGGGCTGAACAGAGGTAATTATTAATCCACTGAAAGTTCCATGCACCAAGTCCATCCACCAAACATTCAAGCACACCAATGAAGAAGAAGACTAGCCCTTCACCTACCATCCACCACCTTCCTCATTCACACACAATGGTGTGCTAATTTTTGTGCCTATAAATAGAGTGCTCATTTAATTCATTTGAATCATCCAAGAGTGTGATCAATCAACCTTGAGAGTGTTGAAACACAACCAAGAAGAGTTGTGGGAGAGTTTGAGAGTTTTTGTTTAGAGTTTGTAAATCTCTTGTTTTTATTCTTGTGAGTAATAGAAACTTATTTTTCTCTCAATTATGTTTATGATCTTGGGACGATACCACAACAAGTGGTATCAGAGCTTGGTCTGAAGCTTTCGAGCTTAATTTTGAATTTTTCCGAGCCTCTGTAGAAATTTCGAGTTTCTGAGTTGTGCTCGAAATTCGATTCCAAGAACACCGTTAGATTCGTCTCGTCGAGACGGTCGCAACGGTATCTTACGGGCGAAAAACGGACACCGGAGCTGAGAGTTATATCCTTCTGAAGTTTTGAGAAAAAAAAAAAAAAAAAAAAAAAAAAAAAAAAAAAAAAAAAAAAAAAAAAAAAAAAAAAAAAAAAAAAAAAAAAAAAAAAAAAAAAAAAAAAAAAAAAAAAAAAAAAAAAAAAAAAAAAAAAAAAAAAAAAAAAAAAAAAAAAAAAAAAAAAAAAAAAAAAAAAAAAAAAAAAAAAAAAAAAAAAAAAAAAAAAAAAAAAAAAAAAAAAAAAAAAAAAAAAAAAAAAAAAAAAAAAAAAAAAAAAAAAAAAAAAAAAAAAAAAAAAAAAAAAAAAAAAAAAAAAAAAAAAAAAAAAAAAAAAAAAAAAAAAAAAAAAAAAAAAAAAAAAAAAAAAAAAAAAAAAAAAAAAAAAAAAAAAAAAAAAAAAAAAAAAAAAAAAAAAAAAAAAAAAAAAAAAAAAAAAAAAAAAAAAAAAAAAAAAAAAAAAAAAAAAAAAAAAAAAAAAAAAAAAAAAAAAAAAAAAAAAAAAAAAAAAAAAAAAAAAAAAAAAAAAAAAAAAAAAAAAAAAAAAAAAAAAAAAAAAAAAAAAAAAAAAAAAAAAAAAAAAAAAAAAAAAAAAAAAAAAAAAAAAAAAAAAAAAAAAAAACTCCCCCCCCATTTTCGACTGTTCCGGACGCAACGGTGCTGTCTATTTTTCCAAATACAGCTCCGATTTGTCCCAAACAGATCATTGAAAGTGCAAAATGGCCATAGAAGAGTCAACTTCATCTTCTGGAGCTATGATTATGCTCACGGCTACCAACTATACGCTGTGGAAACCTCGGATGGAGGATTTCCTCAGCTGTAAAGAGCTCTTTGACCCAATAGAGCTGGAGGGAATTAACCCTGATCCGTCCAAGGCGTTAGAATGGAAGAAAATCAATAGAAAAACTATTGGTCAAATCCGACAATGGATAGACCATAGTGTCTTCCATCATGTTGCACAAGAAACCGACGCATATGTCCTTTGGAGGAAGCTGGAGGACATGTACCAGGCCAAGACCGCTCGAAATAAGGCCTTATTGATGAGGCGCTTAGTCAATATGAAGTTGAAAAGTGGAACTTCTATTGCCGAGCATACCAGTGAGTTCCAGAGCCTGGTAAATCAGCTATCTTGTGTGGAGATGCCGCTTGGAGATGAAATGCAATCTCTGCTACTTCTTAGTTCCCTTCCTGATAGCTGGGAAACACTCGTTGTTACTCTCAGCAATTCAGCCTCAAACGGCAAACTTTCCATGTCCGTTGTGAAGGATGCCTTATTCAATGAAGAGGCAAGAAGGAAAGACATGGGCACAGATCAGACCCATGCCCTTGTAATGGAGAATCGAGGAAGACCACAAGGCAAGCAACAAAGAAGCGGTAGAGGGAAGAGCAGGGGTAGAAGCAAGGGGAGGCGATCAGATGATCGGAGATCACATGTGTGCTATCATTGTGGTCTAGAAGGTCATATGAAGAAGAATTGTTATAAATGGCTCGAGGAGCAGGGTAAGAGCAATTCTCAACCGAAGAATAGTTCTCAGCAGAAGAGCAAGGGTGGTGAAACTCTTATCACTGTCTCAGGGGAGGTAGCATATTGCTCTACCCATGGTGAGACATGCCTTCATGTTTCACGAGAAGACATGGAATGGGTGGTAGATACTGCAGCATCCTATCACGTTACTCCCAACAAGAATTACTTCACAACATACCAAGCTGGAGACTTTGGATCGGTGAAGATGGGAAATTCCAGTTCCTCTGTTATTGCCGGAATTGGTGATATCCAGGCAACGACAGGAACCGGGAGTACAATCCTATTGAAGGATGTTAGACATGTGCCAGATCTTAGACTGAACCTTTTGTCAGTGGTGGCTCTTGACAAAGAAGGATATGACAATCACTTTGGTGCAGGCACATGGAAGTTGTCAAAGGGTGTTCTGAAAATTGCCCGAGGACATGTTTGTGGGACGCTGTACAAAACACATTTGAAGATCAGTACAGAAAGTCTCAATGTTGCAGAGGAGGCTTCCCAGGATCTATGGCACCAGAGACTTGGCCATATGAGTGAGAAAGGGTTGACTACCCTGATGAAGAAAGATCTTATCAAGGTTGATAAGAGTGTTGCATTGGGTTCTTGTAGTCATTGCCTGTTCGGCAAGCAGCATAGAGTCTCATTCAATGCAAATTCAACAAAGAGATCAGAGTTGTTAAGCTTGGTACACTCTGATGTTTGCGGTCCCATGGAGGTTGAATCACTGGGTGGAAGCAGATACTTTCTGACTTTCATTGATGATGCTTCTCGAAAGGTGTGGGTATATTTCCTGAATACGAAGGACCAGGTGTTCGAGTACTTCAAGTCATTTCACGTCATGGTGGAACGTGAAACAGGAAAGAAGCTGAAATGTCTCCGATCTGATAATGGAGGCGAGTATACTTCAAAGGAGTTCAATGCATATTGTCTTACATATGGCATTCGACATGAGAAGTCAGTACCACGTACCCCTCAGCACAACGGCGTTGCTGAAAGAATGAATCGGACTATCATGGAGCGTGTCCGAAGCATGATGAATATGGCTAAATTACCAAAGCCATTTTGGGGAGAAGCTGTCAAGACCGCATGTTATCTAATCAACCGATCACCTTCAGTTCCATTAAATTTTGAAGTTCCAGAGAGAATATGGACTGGTAAGGATCCGACATACTCACATCTCAGAGTATTTGGTTGTGTAGCATATGCACATGTATCCAAAGAGCTCAGAAAGAAGCTCGATGCGAGGTCCATCCCATGCATTTTCATTGGTTATGGAGATGAAGAGTTTGGATACAGATTTTGGGATCCAAAGGAGAAAAAGGTGATCAGAAGTAGGGACGTTGTGTTCCAAGAGAATTTGACAATAGAAGACATAGAAAAGCCCAAGATGTCTCAGAAGTCAAATGTCGGTGCTCAAGTTTCAGATGAAGCACCAGAATTGTTCTGGAGAAACAATGAAGATGATGTACCAGAAGGAGACGAGGAGACAGAAGAGAGTGCAGAGCAAGGGGAGCAACAACCCATCTTGACAGAGCAAGGGGAGCAACAATCCATCTTGCCAGAGCAAGGGGAGCCACAACCCATTTTGCCAGACACCAACGTTGGAAGTTCTTCTCAGATGGTTCTACCCACTCGTAGATCTGAACGAGGTCATATACCATCAAAAAGGTACTCATCATCTGAATACCTTCTATTGACAGAAGATGGAGAACCAGAGAGTTTTCAAGAAGCCATATCTCATAAGGATAAAGAAAAATGGATGATTGCGATGCAGGAAGAATTAGATTCTCTGCAGAAAAATCAAACTTATGAGATTGTTAAACTTCCAGAAGGGAAAAAGGCTTTGAAAAACAAATGGGTGTTCAAGCTGAAGAAAGATTCAAATGGACAAGTGGTGAAACACAAAGCTCGATTGGTTGTCAAAGGCTTTCAGCAGAAGAAAGGGATTGATTTTGACGAGATCTTTGCACCAGTTGTCAAGATGACCTCAATTCGAGTCATACTTGGCTTGGCAGCAAGTATGAACCTGGAGCTTGAACAGATGGATGTGAAGACAGCTTTTCTTCACGGAGATTTGAAAGAAGAAATCTATATGCAACAACCAGAAGGTTTTGAGGTTTCAAGTGAGAACCTCGTGTGCAAGCTATCTAAAAGCTTGTATGGTCTGAAGCAAGCACCAAGGCAGTGGAATAAGAAGTTTGACTCATGCATGCTGAGTCAAGGTTACAAGAAGACTGTTGCAGATGAGTGTGTTTACATCAAGAGATACTCAAACGGGGCTTTCATAGTTCTTCTACTGTACGTCGACGACATGTTGATCGTTGGGAATGATGCAGAGAAGATAAGTCAGCTGAAGAAAGAACTTTCTAAGTCTTTTGATATGAAAGATTTAGGAAAGGCTCAACAGATTCTTGGGATGCAGATTACTCGAGACCGAGAGAACGGCAAGTTATGGCTATCTCAAGAGAAGTACATTGAACGAGTACTTGAAAGATTCAATATGAGTGATGCCAAACCAGTGGGTATTCCACTTGCGAATCATTTCAAGTTAAGCAAAAGATCATGTCCCACATCCGAGGAAGAGGTGGGGGAGATGTCTGCAGTGCCATACTCTTCAGCAGTTGGAAGTTTGATGTATGCAATGGTATGTACCAGGCCAGATATTGCTCATGCAGTGGGTGTAGTGAGTCGTTTTCTTTCTAACCCCGGGAAGGAGCATTGGGAGGCAGTCAAATGGATTTTCAGATACTTGAAGGGTACTTCTAAGTTATGTCTTTGTTACGGGGGAGCTGATCCAATCTTGGAAGGATATACTGATGCTGATATGGCCGGAGATATTGATTGTCGAAAGTCTACTTCGGGTTATGTCTACACTTTTGCAGGGGGAGCCATTTCTTGGCAATCAAGATTGCAGAAGTGTGTTGCTTTATCCACAACAGAAGCTGAATATATTGCTGCCGCTGAAGCTGGTAAAGAAATGTTGTGGTTAAAGCGCTATCTTCATGAACTTGGGATCAAGCAAAAAGAGTACAAGGTATATTGTGATAGTCAAAGTGCTATTGACTTAAGCAAGAACTCTATGTACCATGCCCGCACAAAGCATATTGATGTTCGGTATCACTGGATACGCGAGAAGATTGATCAACAGCTGTTGAAACTAGTGAAGGTCAATACGAAGGAGAATCCATCAGATATGTTGACAAAAGTGGTTACACTGGACAAGCTTAAACTATGCAGAGACATAGTAGGAATGTTTGTTCAGAACTTGCATGGAAAGGGGAGAATTGAAAGTTCCATGCACCAAGTCCATCCACCAAACATTCAAGCACACCAATGAAGAAGAAGACTAGCCCTTCACCTACCATCCACCACCTTCCTCATTCACACACAATGGTGTGCTAATTTTTGTGCCTATAAATAGAGTGCTCATTTAATTCATTTGAATCATCCAAGAGTGTGATCAATCAACCTTGAGAGTGTTGAAACACAACCAAGAAGAGTTGTGGGAGAGTTTGAGAGTTTTTGTTTAGAGTTTGTAAATCTCTTGTTTTTATTCTTGTGAGTAATAGAAACTTATTTTTCTCTCAATTATGTTTATGATCTTGGGACGATACCACAACATCCACAACCAAAAAGTAGCAACATATAACACACACCCAAAAAAACAAAGCCTTCAACGACAGTTATACTAACATTCTATGGCAGGAAAAGCTCATCAGGAAGTGCCTACATACGAGGAATTTGAACCATTATGCCACTGGCAACGCGATGAAGATAAAGACATTCTAGAAATCCATCTTCAAGGTGAATATACTTGCAATCATCCTCCAATACCCAGTTATAGATTGATCATTAATATAAACCTTTTTTCCCCTCAGAAATATGCTTTAACTCTTGCTTTAATGGGGCCAAAATTTGTACACTTTAAAATGTAAAAATTTCCCTACACAAAAAAAAAAATGACCTATAAAATCTTTATATACTATATCGAAGAAAAATAAATCTCAGGTTTCGTTTTCTGATTTTGTCCATCTCAGGGTTCGTTTTCTGATTTTGTCCCTCTCCTTGTTCTTCTAGTTATGACTCCTGCTATAAACTATGCAATGAAATTGAAAATTAAGAATATGGAAAAGAATACAAAAGCCAAATGCTGTTGCCTTATATCTGAGCTTAAGATGGCAAATAATTTAACTTCAGGGCACAAGGCACATATTTTACTAGCAGGCGCAATAAAAGTTTTCATTTTTGTACCTTTACTCAAGATTTATCTCATTGAAACACTGTTCATTTCATCTCAATTTTTTCTCTACAATTCCACTAACACAAGACAAATTTTTTCCAAAAAGAGAAAAATCTTATATCAATTGCGCCCTTAACTTCAATAGTTTGCTATCTCTATCCTCAACGACTCCCCTCAATTCCCATATTATTCCAAAATTTCACTAAGTCCCAGAGCAAACTAGAAATGAACCAAATCGAAAGACCTCACAAAAAACGTGGGCAACTAAAATCTTTACCTGCCTTTTTGCTCTTTTTCCAAGGTTTCAAAAAAGAACAGCTCAGAGTACAAATCAGCAGCCTCGGCGTCCTCAAAATCTCCGGAGAAGGTCCGGCGGGAACGTCGTTGAAATCCAGGTTCCACAAAGAAGTAATCGCCCCGACCGACACCTACGACACCCAATCGATCCAGGCCACATTCATCAACGGCGTCCTCTACATCACCATGCCCAAAATCAAACACGGATCCAACGGCCCCAAGGTCCCGCCGAGAGCCGATCCGACACCCAAATCGGAGCCCTCCGGGATAAATCAGCCCACGGTGGCCCCACCGTTGCCGAAATTGAACGATGCCGACGGCGGATCTGGAGAGAAGTCGAAGACGGACGTCGTAGGGAATCGGCCGCCGGGATTCGAGATCGAGAAACGGAAGAAGCCGGGGCTGGCGAAGGTGGCGATGAGCCTGGCCGCGACGGCGGCGGCCCTGGCTGTGCTGGTGGCTTACGTTGTGTATATGTACAAGTGTACGGTTGGTGAGCAGCTTGACGAGTGAAGTTGGAATTTTTATGTGTAATTAATTAGAATAAAAAATGTAAAAAATTTATTTGGAAATAAAATGTAGAATAAAAAATGTAAAATTAATGTTGTTATTTTTTTTTTTTATTAATGCATTATTTTGTTTTTTTAGTGTGGACTGTGGATTACACCTACTGTTGTTCATTCAAACCGTATATTGTTGCTGAAGCTCATAAAATTTGAAGTCTTAAAAAAAAAGGAAGAAA